AATATAACAAATAAATATGAACTATGCAAAAATGCAAAACGATAATCCGGGTATCGGAACTTGGCTGTTTTGAAAACGCCTTCAAATGCGGCGTGATATCTCACGCATTCCGGAGAGTTCAAATAGTTGTATCATTGCGCCGTAAGAATGTGACGGAAGATTTGAATGGAAATAGCCTCCATGCACGCTGGGCGTGTCGATTTCCTTTGACATTTTTGCAGTGGTAAATGCATAGCTGAAGTGCGCTTCAGCTAGAATTGTATTTACAAATGAGTGGTTTTCCTACGAGGATTAAAAATAGACGAGTGGTACGGAAAATAACAAAAGAATATGAACTATTCAAAAATGCAAAACGATAATCCGGGTATCGGAACTTGGCTGTTTAGAAAACGCCTTCAAATGCAGCGTGATACCTCACGCATTCCGGAGAGTTCAAATAGTTGTATCATTGCGCCGTTAGAATGTGACGGAAGATTTAAATGGAGATAGCCTCCATGCACGCTGGGCTTGTCGATTTCCTCTGAAATTTTTGCAGTGGTGAATGCATAGCTGAAGTGCGCTCCAGCTAGAATTGTATTTAGCAAATGGGTGGTTTTTCAAATAGTGGTTCAAATAGTTGTATCATTGCGCCGTATGAATGTGACAGAAGATTTAAATGGAAATAGCCTTCATGCAGGCTCGCTACATCCCATCTTGGGCCCTGGTACCAGTTTGAAGGTCCGGGCCCCAAGCACGGAGGGGGGGGGAGTCCGAGGGGCATCCTCCGAGAAATTTTAGAACTTATACGACTAATCGGACGCATTTTGAAGCTTCCATAAAGAATTTTTCCATCAATTTCTGCGGAATAATTATGTTTTTTTTTTTCTACTTTCAGCACAAAATACTCGCGAATTGTTGCATTCAAAACATCTGGAAAATTTATATATTTTTTTTTTGGGGGGGGAGGGGCATATGATACTATTTTCAGTTCTAAGAGGGCCAGGCCCCCCTGGACTCCCCCTTCGTTTGTCTATGGCGAGGGAGTTGAGCCATGATCCATTGAAGTCGAGGATGCCCAGACTGGAGACTCTTAGCATCTGACGACGGAAGAAAATGAAACGCAGTTACTAAAAATATCCCTCTGTACTGAAAATCTTGAAAATAAACCAAGAAGTATACTTCTTTGAAAATTTAAGAAGAACTCTACAGTGCCCCAGCGTGTTTCTGAAATTCTATTCACCTTTTGCGAAATTTTATGGGTAAATTTTTCACTTTTTCTTACGAAACAAGGGTTGCATGTGAATTCGTAGTGGTTTTTCACGGGTAACACGGGCCCCCTCCGGGGCCCGGGCCCTGGTACCAGGGACTCAGTATCCCCCCCCCCTTGTGGCGGGCCTACATGTTGTTATTTGAGGTTGTCTTAATGTGGCTTTTAATACGAGTTAAAACTTCATTTCAATCCATAGCATTTGCTACCCAATAAAACAACGATTTTTTGAAGTGCTACTAAGTGCCATAATATTGTACATCAACACTTTAAAAACTTATTCATTTACCTGTTCATTTTTTCCAATATGATTAAATACCCACTCAAACCGCCTTGTCATCGTGCAGCGACGACGTGTGATTGCAATGAGCGACGCATTTTGTTATCACAAGCGGAAAAAATTAAGAGCGCTCCACCTGTTTCAATGGCATGCAACTATTCGTGTTCTCGGGACGTCAGTGTTGCATACACAAAAATGTGTAGGCGCTGCGGTTTTCTTAGGCGCAACTTATGGCTAAAGTTGCTGGTTCTCGAGGGTCTGTAACCTGCGTCATCGATGCATCGATGTGGTGGCGAGAGGTTCAGTCGAAGTCTGCGAGCCACCTAATGACGCAAAACAGGCATGAATCTTACCCCGAGACCTCCGGAGGCACGAGAGGAAAGATGAAAAATAAATTTTAATAACTACTGTCGTTTTTGAGAGGCCCCTCATTAGAAAAGATCCCGAGGACAAGGCTGCCATGCTAAGGAAGAACGCCGTATGAACCTTCAGGCGCTGCCAAGTTGCCTTTGATAAAATACGAATTTACTGGTATAGTTAAGAATATTTTTCTTCCGGTGTTTCAGGCAACATTGTTCGTAGTTGAATCTAAAATATCTGAAAATTTCTAGGAAACATAAGTATGCATAACTTCCTTCCAAAAACAACATTTTATCGGAGGAAATTTGGCAACTCTCGAATGTTCATAGGGCGTTTTTCCCTAGCACGGCAAAATGAGGAGCTGGCGCGGCGCACGGCGCGGTCGTGGGTTAGAGTGTCCTCAGCTATTTGTTCAAGTTGATCATCTGAGAGCTCTCTGGCGACAGATCTTTGAACCGAATCGCAAACATTCCCACCCGGCCGCGGCAGCGGCAGCCGGCAGCCCACTTGCCATAATTAGCTCATGAGAGTCTTCCTTGCTCCTTGGTGTGTTTACCCCGAACGTTCAAACTAGAAAAACAGTAAGTTTTCGAGGAGCTCTCCACCTCGTGTACTTTTGTCTCCAAGTGACTAATAATCGATTTAACAAGCGCTGATTTCACTCCCTCTCTTTCCATCCATCCGCCGTGCATTTCTAAAAACCACTGACAGCTCTCACCTACACTGCCGTGCTAAGGAAGAGAGCCTCATGAACCATCTGGCGTTGTCAACGAACCCCGCACACTCCTTAGAGGAATATGCACCACGATCTATTTCCAATTTTTTATCGCATAAAATTCGTTTTTGGATGCTGATCAAAAGTCATCATTGCGCCAACTTTCTACGAGGCACCGTGTTTTCGCAGTATTTCGCACAGCCCTTAAATAATCTTAAGCTCCGCCGCCTCGCCGCGCCGCGCTGACCTCACTATGTTTTGCGCAATGCGTGAAGTATTCCTACAGTCTTGTAGGCGCTATGCGTCTCACGCGGACCGCTGCGGACCGCACTGTGTTTGACGCAATGCGTGAAGTATCCATGCAGTTTTGTAGGCGCTAATATGTGTTACGTGTCGACCGCTGCGCCGCGTCGAGGGCTTCTCCTTTTCATGTGAAGTCTTCGTTATCATTGCTCTCTGCGGCGCACCGTTCAAAGCCAAATTGCGTGTTTGGTTTCTCTCCTAACTCATCTAATTAAAGGTGCTGTTTCTTGTATCACCGAAAGACGACAAAATTAGAAATTGCCATACCTTCACTCTCAGGAAATGAGAGACTTTATGGCCTTTTCTTTTGTTCGTAATTTTTTTTCTGAATCCGATTTTTTTTTATACCTACATCTGAAACAATTTCAAAATGTGCCGCCATGGCCCACGGCCCACATGTGGCCACCCCCTAAATCCGGCCCTGGAAACCAGAGTGATGACTGTTGTTTCCTTATAATTGTCCATAAGGAATTATTATCGAATTCCTGAAAGTAAAATCTTTCCCCTGTCGCCAAGAGGCCAGTGGAGGGTCTCTTGTCTCTGATCGTCACACCAGAGTCCTGGGCTCTTGGGCACCTCCATGGATTAAATCTACTAAGTATAGCCCTGTGTCGACTCGTCAAAATGGAAGCTCAAAGTGAATCGATAAATACAATCTGTTCGCGATTGTTGATCAAAAAATTGCGATGAAATCGCAATTATCGCGATAAATCGCCGTCGATAAAATCGCGATTTTATTGCAATTTAATGCGATGAAATCGCAATTTATCGCGATTTTTTATCCGATAATATTGCAATAAAGCTACGTCGATAAAATCGCGATACATTCTCCGATTAAATCGCAATTTATCGCGATCACTGCTACATGGGTTTTGCGCATAGCGGCATCACGTGAGGAGTATTCTGTAAATTTGTTCACTTTTATAACGTGAATGTAAAAATACCTGAGTCCTATTTCCAAAATCTGATTAGAGCGAGCTCATTTAGGGCATATCTTCTGTCGATACCCGCAAAAATCATGGAAATCGGCCCAGTAGAACGCTCCAACGAACTATGACAAAAAATATAAATTTACATTGTTTAAATGGGAGAATTCACAACTTTACCGCGTAATATAAAAAAAAACCTTGGTCATATTTTGAAAATCTGAATAGAGTGAGCTCATCTAGAGAAAATTGCCCGTTGATCGCCGCAAAAATCATGAAAATCGGCCCGGTAGAACGCTGAGCTAACTAAGCGTGACCAGTTATGCAAAATTAGGAGGTCTCGGAGCTTATATTATAGATAGTATAGATAGAGACAGATGTGTACCTAGCAGGATGGTGGATAATTCTGCCGTGATAGCGAAGAGAGCCGTAAGTGCAAAAATGAAGTTTTGAAAAAACTGGCTCAGAAGCTTCTGACAAGAACATTTTATTGAAAGAAGCCTCCGTTCTTTGTCGAATTGCCACTAATCGTCCGGAAGACTCCTGGAAATCGTATGGATGATAAAAAATCGACTGATTTTATTTCCATTACATAAAAAGGGTATTTTTCATTTTCATGCTAGGTTATTGTCAGGCAAGACAGCCGTAAGTGCTATCTTCTGCATGCTTTCGTGGTTGCGTTTTGGACGCACAACAAACACATTATCAGGTTAGAAATTGGGAGAAGAGGGCGGCACCTTACTGGAAAGCACTGTTTTTATTGGCTCTCGTGCACCTGCGGCTGTCTTGAAAAAACTATTTCATTTTTTGTGCATTGACGGCTCTCTCATACATCTTGTTTTCATTAAATTAGGATGAATTTTGCTGTTTTAGCTGTCTCAGTAATTTCATCTAAAAGAGTTTAGACGAATTTTGAAGAAAACTCGATTTTGAAAATTTTGCACTTACGGCTCTCTTCGCTATCACGGCAGAATTTAAATCTACCGGGCTTCTCGGATCGGGCTGCGTCAGCGCGCTCTACCGCACTTCTGACGAAACAATGCTAAAATTAGTTTTTGAGTGCCCACGCTAGAGCGCTGCACCATTTGCTGAGAACTCAATGAAGTGGCGCACAGGTTTTAGCACTGGCGGGATTCTATGTGGAGTGTGGAGTATCCTTACACGTAGTGTATTTTAATCCATGGCACCTCCTCGCTCCTCCATCCTCGGCTGTGTTTATTTTCCTAATAACTCGTCCCCTCTGTTAATTTGAATCATTTTGAATGCTGTAGTGTATTAGTGTATTTTGTGCTTCCTCAATAACTATGTGAATTTTAAGAGAGCACTCTCTCTCTCTCGCAATTTTATCTCTCCTTTAACAATCTTTTCCCTGTCATCATTATTATAATTTAATTATTAAAATTGAGACAACCTAACCTATGACTGTGCTGTGGGTTAACAAGTGGATTTAATTTTTAAAAAAGAACATATTCCTCCTGGCTGTGCTATTTATTTGATAACAGTATTAGAACCCATCTTTGCTAGTATGGCAATCCGAAAGAACTTCCAGTAACGTGATTAAATCGACTACAGTATGCTGGGGAGTGGGTGAAAGGCTAAGCGTTCTCTACTATCCTCGAGTTGAAATTACAATTCTACCTTCTCACTGAGATGTCTCGTTTCTGTGTGTTCCACATCATTATTTGTGGGATTTTACTCTTAAAGCAGCCAATGTGTTCATGACGCCCCCCGATAATCTGCAAATCGATGCCTGGGTAAGTAAGATTCCTTTGCAAAACAACACAATTTTTGTAATCGCACCCGAAGATTTATGACTGCAGAATGGAATGAGATAGGCGACAGCGACCTTTCGCTTATGTGACAACCTAGTTGGGTACATTAGTGACTGTGTAGCCTCTTATCAATTAAATTATATGATACTGCAATCACCTCACAGATTTAGCTCTGGAGCATAGTCTGTGAATGCAATGAATTTCAGAAATTATGACCTCACCCAGGCCAGTTATCAGCGTTTAAATTTTATGGCTTAAAATTTGAACCAAATCTTTTCCCAAAACAGGTTGTAGTCAAAGTGTATTCCTACCCACCAAGTACCTACAATTACTTCAATCAAGTATTAATGCTCCAAGTTTTGTTCAAGATGTTTGACAGTCAATACTTCCAAATGTATTCAGATCCAATTTTTATAGTCATCAAACAAACTATTCAGGGTTTAATATTGGTTATCCAGTGGCAATGGTAGCTCTGGAAATTTCACGGAATTTAAAGGTCAGGATTTTTTTGCTGAAGCTTCGGAAAATTCAGCAAATTTTGAATTCTACTATATTATTTTTTATTACTATATTTGCAATGCTGCTTGTATGTTTTTGACATCTGTGGGCTGATTATTGAAATTTTGTGTTTGTGGTGCGGACATTGGCTAAGCAGCGGAGCGTGATGCGTGATGGTCGGCTATGTCTCATGGCTGCTTTGTCAGGTGGTATGGACGACAATCTATCGGAAACTGGAGATATACCTTTAGCTTGTTGTGAACTCCACCTGATAAAGGGACAATAAAGAAGCATCAAGACATAGCCGACAAATCATGCTCTGCCGCTTAACCTATGTCCACCTGACAAACACACATTTTCAATAATCGGCCAGCTAGGATGTTCCAATCCAACCCATGGAAGCTTGACTGAGCCAGGCTCGAGTGGGGCTAAAATTCACCACCAAAATCTGGAGCACTCAAACAGAGCCTGTTTCAGGAAAATGTGCTGATCCCAAGATAAAAAATCAATCTTTAAGCACAGTCATGAATATGTCCTCTTGAAATCTTCTACTGACAACACCAAATTAGGAATGAAATTTTCCGAAAATCTTCAGAGAAATATTCACGAATGTTTAAAAAAGTCGCATTTTACAAGTTGGCACGGTCTTTAAGTACGGTGTCTTTCCATAGCACAGCTGTTAGAGTTGATATGAAGGGGGGGGGGGGGGGGGTTCAAATGTAGAGCACCCTGTCCTTACGTACGAAGACAGTGCAAAAATGTCGGAGGAGAGGTTGCCCAAACAAGTTTTTGACCGGGTACCACCTGGGAAGAGGCGACGGGGACGCGACGTCCCGTAAAGGGGTGGCTGCCGGGCGTTGACGAAGAGATATTGCGGTAGTGTTGGGGATTTTTAATCGATTTTTTCAATGAAATAATCGGAAAAATCGAATCGATTTTTCTGAGTCGAATAATCGTGTAAATCGATTTGAACGAAGAAAGACCGCTTTAAACCGAGCTTCCACGAAGAAATTTCTCTCGGCGCGCTTATTTTTTCGGATTTTTAATCGTTTTTTTTTTAAAAAAAAAATCGATTTCTCTGTGTTGATTTTAATCGAATTAATCGATTTTTTTTATAAAATCGAATCGATTCGATTAATCGAGAATTTTGAAAAAATCCCCAACGCTATGCGGTGTCAGGTGCGCCCGATGATAACCTCTGGGAGGATAGGCATATGTGGCGTTTGGGTGTCGCAGAACGCCAGAGTGCGTTGTAGTAGCGACTCTTTATTTATATATGTATATATATTAAAGCCCATTTCTGTATTGGGCTGCTAATGGCACGTATGTTGATACTATAAAATGTGCCCGAAACGTTATAGTCCCTTACTGCAAAATTAAGTCAATTTCGATCTCGTTAATTTAATCGTGTGAAGATGGGCTTATAATTTGCACCTCGTCTTCAACAGCCCATAGAATGCCCAAGCCTCCTTGAAAAAACAACGGAAACGCGATGCTTTCTAGATGGATCGTCCGTCGTTTTTACATGTGAGGCGTATGAATATGCGTCCTTGCGTGCTGTCTAGTTAAGTACAATTACATTACGAAATGGGATAAAATCGTCGGGGCTCTCTTAATTGCAGCTTTCTTGGTCAGCAATTCTTTTTTCTCGCTGTAATGGAAACACGCTACGTGTGCGAAGTGTGACCTAAAGCGTAGTTCTGAGATTTTGATTGTGAGATCCTCAGAATTGCTCCTCGAAAGACTATTTTCCGCCATCGTGTGTGAGTGAGCAGGCGCATGCTCATATGTCGAGTCTGCTGATGCTCGAAAACGCTATGATTCCGAGAACGCCTACAAATGTTCTGCTAACTATCTCCTGTCCTATGTTCCATTAATTAAGAAAATAAGCGATTTTGTGTTCTGGCGAAATCCGGGTATCTATACCAATAAATGCCCTTTTTGCACGCAGCGTACCAATTTTCGAAGAACAGTCGTGATGAATCACACGGAATTTAGAATGAAAACGATGACTATTGGTCTGTTGAAAAACTGAAATCAGAATAATGCGACAGGAAACGTATACATATAACATCTCAAGCCTGAATACGCGTATATAATTTACCAACGTGAGCTGCCTTCAATTTAGAGAGTATGCAATCCGCAATGCGCGGACCCCCTGTGCGTGCCTGCCAGCACCCCGGGATCCCGGGCCCCTGAGCCGTAATCCGGTCCTGACTCACAAGTTATTCTAGATCACAGGACCATCAAATTCGGATTTCCGGAATATGCAATGAGTATTAGCTGTCTCGTTCGAAGTCAGAAGCGGATCCTGCAATTTGGCAACATCGGGTTTCCTCCATTTAAATCTATGTTAAAGAGAGTCGGGCATGAATTTTCGAAAAAAATTGAGAAAATCGTCTTTTGGGCTCATTTTTTTCTACACATCCTCACAATCAAAACAAGATTAAGAACAGTTATTTCTGATGTCTAGTTTGGGCGGGAGAAGCTTTTGAGGCAGTGAAGGTCAAGGCGTATTACCATTTAATTACCTGTCAACTGTTTTTCTTACCAAAAATTCAAATCAAGTTTTCCTTAAGTCAGTGTTTTTCAAACAAAACGTACCTTTTCTCAGGTTCTAGTGGGTCTTTTTTCAAAAACTTTTTTTTGTTTGACTCCTTGTACTCTTATGCACACTTTATCACAGACTTTTCTTGACGGCTTAAACGATTTTTTTCAAATTTTGAGGACACTTTAAAGTCAATATTTTTGATAAAATTAGGCACCTATTACTAACTTGAAAAAATGCATGAAAATTTGAATTTTCGAAATTTTGGAAAAATCCCGTGCTCAATTCAGCCTCAAGGTATCACAAATCCAACAAAACAAACCGGACGAAAAAAGACCAAGTAAGCTTTGAGGGGGAAAAAATAGAAGTTGGCTAAATTAACATGGACTAGCATACTGCCGTGCTAAGGAAAAAGGCCGTATGAACATTCGAGAGTTGCCCAATTGCCTCGAATAAAACATGTGGTTTTGAGGAAAGTTATGCATATTTTTTCTTAAAATTTTCAGATAAATAGATTGAATTGTGAACAATATTTTCTGGAAAATTTGACGAGAAAATGTTCACAATTTTCCCTGGAAATTCGGTTTTTATTGAAGGAAATATGGCGACGCCTGAAGGTTCATACGGCGTTTTTCCTTAGCACGGCAGCATAGGAGGTCCGACTCCCCTTAAGTGACCGATTCTTGTCAGAGCACCTGGCCCAGAGTTGCTAAAAGAAATTTCATCAAATGAAAATTCGTGAAATTTCATGAAAATTTCTTAAATTTCATGAAATTTCTTTTTTCCCCATGTAACTTCTTGAAATTGCCTCATGAAATTTCTTCTTATAATCTTTCATGAAATTTCTTAACTCTGACCTGGCCCCTCCAAGAATCGATACATGTCCATAGGTTTAAATGGAGAAAAACATTGTTGCCAATTCTGTTTCTGGATCCGCCAATGTTCGAAGTTGCGCTCGGCTCCTTTATATTCGGGTTGGAGCCAAGAGCCGTGGAATCTTTATTTTTACATTCTCACGATGATTTCTACTTCTTTTGCAGAAAATGAAAGGGAGCGGTGTGCGCCGGAAACGAGCGTGAACGCCATGTCCGACTTGGCAAATGGATTGAAATCGCCGTTGCTCAGTCACCCCAAGTAAGAATTTTTTTTTTTTTTCACATTATTACAACCTTTCTGACTCCTCTAATTGAATCAGTGAGAACGAACGCACACCAACTCGGTAACTTGAAAACACTCAATTTCCATTAAAAACAGCTAATTTACATAAAGGTCATTGAAGTTAGCGCGTCTGTTCCAACTTGGACCTTTAAGGTGGCCATAAGTACTTGTCTCTTGGCAGCAAAAATTTTTTTCTTAAACTAACTTCTTCACCTACTGTGCAGTTTTGCAGGGCCGGATTTACTTACTTGCCGCCCATGGGCCGCCTCTATTTTGCCGCCCCCTTCTCATTCATTTTGAAACACCGATCAAACCATCAAGTGAACGTGCTGAAGGGGGAGGGTTGCATAAAACGCGTTTACTCGTGTTGGACACATTTTTTTGCGAAAGCCCTGTCAACACCACTAGCAAAAGTTCACGGAACTCGGTGCGAGAGTTAAGTCTCGTAAACCTATCTCTGTGTGGACAAGGCCTTCCATTTATATGTAATGAACGAAAAAATTATGAAGGAACAAACATAAATGTGGTTTTATAAGTTTAACTTCCGCCGCCGCGTCGCGCTAACCGCACTGTGTTTGACGCAATGCGTGAAGTATTCATGCAGTCTTGTAGGCGCTACGCGTTTCACGCCGCCCGCTGCTGACCGCAGCGACCGCACTGTTTTTGACACAATGCGCGAAGTATTTATGCAGTTTTGAAGGCGCTAATATGTGTTACGTGCCGACCGCCGCGCCGCGCCGAGGGTTTCTCCTTTTCATCTCAAGTTCTCGTCATCATTGCTCTCTGCGCCGCGCTGTTCCAGGCCAAATTCTGTGTTCTGTTTCTCTCTTAGTCTTAACTCGACACAGAAAGATGCTGTCTATATCTTAGAAAGACGACAAAATTGGACCTATATACTCTCGGGAAATGAAAGATTTTGTCATCTTTTCTCGTTTGTATTTTTTTTCGGAATCCAATTTTCTTTACAGCTACATTTAAAAAAAAATTGTAAAATTTGCCGCCATGGGCCGCAGCCCATGTGGCCACCCCCTTAATCCGGCCCTGCAGTTTTGTGTGTGTCTTAATTATTTTCATTTTTCCGAGTTGGTGTGTTTTCGTTCTCACTGATTTAATTTAGATCTCTTGCCCGAGTTATTGTTAAACAAGAAGTCGAGTGCCCAGTTTGCTGATCTCAAACAACGGTTATCTGGAGCTGGCTTGATCAGGGAAAAGAGGGGTGGGACTGTGAGGACGGTTAAGCGCAAGATCATCCCTCGTGGTATCTTTAAAGTGTAAAAATTGGAAAAAGAAAAACCGGCGCGGATGTGGTTGTGTGGTCCTGTGGTGTGATGTAGTTTGGTCCCTTTCTGTTAAACGCGGTCCATTTAAGTACGGTGCGAAGGACCGACCAAATTCGGTCCGAGGGTCTCTAAAATATATTGTCTCTGTGCTCAACGAGCCGGTGAGCTTCGACTTTCAGACGTTCAAAGCCTGACCTTTGAATCGCCCTCCCCCTCCAGCCCTCCACTACCCCCGGTTATCTCCAGGAAAATATTCAAGTGATTAATGGAGTAAGCTTTCCATCTCAGTTTTGTCAAATGCCACCAGGTCGCTCCGTCGCGTCGCCGCACAGTGAATCGAGTCAGACCTAGAGTTCAGACATAATATTTTTGACTAAAACTGCAAATTTTGATGTTTCTCAAGTCTCATTTTAAACTTGAAGGGGTGTTTATTATCGAATATTTTACGAGGAAACCAATCGAACCACTTTTAGAAGCTCAAAATTTAATATAAACGAAGTTAAAAGCTTTTAAAGTTTCCAAAATTTGTCCGGCCACTCTCATTGACTCGATTCACTGTGCGCCGATTAGGAAAAAGTCGGGCGTCGCCTCAATTCGTCATTTTTCCAGTTTTTCCTAGACTTCTATTCTGTCATGCCGGCGAAGAACGCCGTATGAATGTTCGAATTGTTGCCAAATCTCTCCCGATGAAATATTTATTTTTGAGGAGAGCTATGAATATTTTTTCTTGAAATTTTCAGATACCTCAGAGTAAAATTGCGAGGAAGTATATTCCTCTAAAAAGTCGGGGGGGGGGGGGAATATTCACAAGTTTTTAACGAACTTCGTATTTAATCGATCAAGGACAAACGCATTCATCACGAGCGCTATGAAAGATGCATAAAACCTATTACCCTCGCGTCTAGCTCTCACAGAATTTCTGCAGAACGAGGTTTTATGAGTGCGTGGTTCCCATTTTACGAATTATTTGTGGTACAAGCTCATGCAAACTTTTGTAACAAAAGTATTCCTTACTATTACTCGGAAAACTCTTTGGGGGAAAACTGTACTCTGATTTTGATTGCATTGGCGGATCCAGCAAATTGGCAACATTGTTTTTCTCCATTATTTTAAACCCATGAAAATGTATCGATTCTTAGAGGGACCAGGTGCTCCGACAAGGATCGAGTATTTAACATAGGTTTAAATGGAGGAAATCCGATGTTGCCCAAGTGCAGGATTTGCCTCTGCCTGATGGTGACATCGTTTATCGTCATCCTGGCGAAAGGCATCACACGATAAACCCGTCATACAGTCATATAGGTACATGTGTAGCTTTTTGTTGCACTTTTATGAACTTGAAATTAAATTCTTTCGCCCGAAAATCTTCTCTATCCGGGATTCTCATTCAAAATCGCTTTTGTCTGGTGAAGGTGCTTTCAAGGCAGCTGTTTAGCACTTATATCGAAGGTTTCGTAATCGAAATGCACCCTTCAGTGCGCCTGCGCACCCTCTCGATCACTACAAGAAGGTAACCGGAACTCTGTCTCACTCTGGCACTTTCGTTAGCGTTTCGCACTTCTTCACGGCAGTGGCGTGGCGAGATTTGCGATTTATCGATCGATCTGCCATTTAAACCTATGGAAAAGAATCGACAGGGTGTCCGCAACAAACACCTTAATAATCGATTCTTTACTATAGCTTCAAACGGAGGAAAAACTGTGTTTCCAATTTGTGCTGCTCACCACTGGGGCTTAGTGAGCCTTTGCCATAATCTGCACAGCACCTGCATTCCTTTTAATAGTGAGCATTTGCTGATTTTAAGTTCAAGCCAGCACGAGTTTCAGCGCGCTTTTTAACCAGCACTCTAACAAAATTTGTACCATATTTACACTTTATATGCAACCAGTAACTAGCCACCGTTCATGAAATTCAGGAGACCCCTTTCCCACTTCCGAATATCATCAGTTGCGGATCCAAGTTTGAGGGTAGTTTGGCGAGCAGTCGGAAAAAGTTACCCAAAATTCCAAGTATACATTTGGGGGCTTACTCGGAATTTCTTCAAATGTAGAGGAGTCTACTTGGAATTGTTTCGGAATCTGGAGTCTACCGGTGGCATGGCGTGCCTTGCGATACATCGATTGACTTGTCATTTAAACCTGTGGAAAAGAATCGATAGACAGGATGTTCGCAACGAACACCTTAGTAATCGCTTCTTTACCATAGCTTCAAATTGGGTAATGTCGATAATCGATCACTCTCGCCTCGCCATTAGGAGTCTACCCTGAGTTGTCTAGGAATCTAGAGGGGTCTACAGATTCTTCTGGACGAATAACAAGGTCTCGCATTAAAAAGAAGAAAAAACGCAACATCGCAGTGTGTGTAAGCCGAAGCAGTCGTGTACGATGTACGTCTTACAAAAGTATTATATTTCATCGAAAGTCGTAAAAGTTGTCCCTGACGTCATCAACATTTTAACGTTTTTCCCTGCTAGACATAAAAATTACAGAAATGCAGTATTTGTCTAGCCCTCGAACATGGGTGTTTATTCCTCACTGCTCGTGGTGGATGGACAATATCTGTGTCAATAAAATGACAGTTGTTCGCTTATTTGCTTGATAAAGTGTCAACAAATCGTTGCACCCGCAACATACATACGGCTGCAAATTAAGCACAGTAGCATTCATAGGATTATTTTTTTTCGCGCGCTATTCAGCATTTGGACTACAATTTGCAATTAGGAACAACTATTTCTGGCTTATTATAAAAGCAACATACGAATGTGCAATTAGTATCCCCAAGTAGGTATAGTTTTTTCAAATAAGATCCGTATCGCAATAATCGCGCTGGCGGTCGAGCGAGTGAGGTTCCCCCCCCCCCCCCCCCCCCCCCCNCCTCGACTAACAATAAGTGGGGAATTTGGGGGGTTTGGAATACCTTCCAGCTTAGAGGGGGGCCCGGGGGACCTCCCCCGAAAAATGTTTGAAATTTTAAATCTATTTGGACGCATTTTGAGGCTTCCGTGACGCAGGTATTCCATCAATTTCTGCGGAAAAATTAAGCTCCTTTTTTATTTGTCAGCCTGAAATTCCTTCAAATTGTTGCATCCAACACATTTAGAAAATTTTAGAAATTTCAACTCTATTTGAATGCACTTTGAAAGTTCAAACCTCCTCTTTTTGGCATTTTCTTATTTTCTATCTCTTCTTTTCTTCATTCTCCTCCTCCTTTTTTTTCTTTCGCCCCTCTGGCTACGTGCCTGACTTCTCTGTATGATTTGTGATTCGTCGGCTGTGCCGCATGCAGAAGCGTCAATCATCAGATTTAGAGCGAATTTTGTCACGCCGCGCGCCGCGCCGCGCCGCCAAAATGACGCTGCCATGTCGCGACGTCGCGAATCCAAACAAGAGTGTTGACAATGAATCGTCGACGCCTCTGCTGATCGTCCCTCGACTTCTCGAGAACTTGAGGCTCCTCTCCACGCACATACAAACAAGAGAAACACGAAATGTATAATACCACCAAACAAATATGGCGGCGACTCTGAGAGGGTTAGGGGAGCCATTTTGACCGCCGCCATTTTGAGAAGGACAGAATTTTCCGGTGAACTAATGCCAAAATCGTTTTTCTCGTCCCAGAAAACCACAGGATCCCAGTTTTTGTCCCAATCTGTTTACGAAAACGGAGATGTCAAATTTCCGTTATTTTGAACTTTGA